AATGAAGAAAATGAAATGAAATTAAGACCTTTGTGAAAAAAAATCTGACTTGTACAACATAATTTAAAACTTTTTAAGGCCGTAATTTAGGAACATGAAATTTGAGACCTTTTGAAGACTTTTAAGACCCTGCGGCTGCCCTGATATTTCAGACTAAAAAGCAAAAATAAAAGATTGCAAAAAATAAAAACACAGTAGAGCACTTCCTGTGTTTTCTCAGTCTAAATCTGCAGGTTTGTGCGTTAAACATGTGTGAATGAAACGAAACACAGCTCCAGGTCTGTTTGCGACGAGGAAATAGTGTAACATTGACGAATATTTTCTCCTGGTCCACAAAAAGAAGAAACAAACATAAGCCTCCTCGTTTTATAAAAATGACTTGCAGTTCCATAAAATTAAACGATCAGAGTCAGATCGGTGGAATGGCAACCCTGCTTACAGTACGAATGCATGTTTTCCAATGCATTTTTGAGCAATAATTTGAAAAAAAATGTTAAAAAGAAGGAATGAATGAAAGAATTTTAATGCGACACTATAGAACATCCCTGGTAAAGCAAAAACATGCCAGTATCTTTGTGCGTGTGTGTGTGTGTGTGTGCACCAGATGCCCCGCCAGTCCCCTGTGCGTTCCTGTCCACGCTGCAGAGCCAGAGCCAGAGCCAGAGCCAGAGCCAGAGCCAGAGCCAGAGCCAGAGCCGAGTGATTAATGACAGGTCCTGGTCACATCAGTGCTGTTTAACACGGACCACAGACCATCAGCCTCATAATGAACGACACACAACACCGATACAAAGAGACGAACGCAGGTTACACAAAGAAACTACATGTGTATCAAAAAAAAAAATCTACCTGTATCTCACTAAAGAATCTACTACATATCACATTAGGTTTGTGAAGTTGTTGTGTACAATTTTGTATCGTATTTTTGTAGATTTGTGAAGAATTTGTACAGAATCTTACATTTAACCATAAGGAGGGGTTGAATAGGGCCTGGGAGAGATCGCTAAATTACTCAAACATGTGTGGAAGACTTTAAAACCTCTTCAGGCATGTTACGAGATTATAACATGTCAGAAAGCTTAAAAAAAAAATGCATTAAAGAAAAACGATTTCAACTAAAAGCAATTAAGTGAACATTCCCAGACCTAAAATCAAGAGATAGGCCAATGTTGCTTTTTTTTCTCCTCTTCTCTGTGGATTCGCATACTTTCCTAATCACCGACGAGCTTTCGAGTCGTGACCTCGGCGTAACTCAAGTCTCTTAAAGAGCGGCGTCTAAGCGAAGATGACACATGACTCAGGTTGAACTTCTCCGGGACGGTAAATCCACGCGGCGCTCGCTCTCAGAAGGTCACGAGCGCCGAAACCCGATCCGCGGGACTCTCCTTGTTTTTCGACGAGAAACGAGCGCGCGGACGCACCGGGAGAAAACATCTGCAATCAAAATATGACAGCCCATCTGACACGGGCCTGGACCGAAGACGAGGAGGGAGGCTAGACTCAATAAGAGCTCGTCGGGGTTTGTAAACGCGCAGAGGAGGAAGAGGAAGGAGCGGAGGTCGCGTGGGGTCATTCGGTCGACGCGGCAATCATGTAGAAGGATCTGGGCTCAGGTAACAGGAAGAACCACGAGACAAGCAGGAAATAACACTGTCTCTTTGAATTAACGTGTCCAGATAAAGACGGAAAAGGAGCGATGGACTGAACTTCGTGGTCGAGCTGATTTTTTTTCAAGGTCCTTTACTAAGCAAAGTTGATCCTTGAGAGCTTTAAATCGTGTTATAATGTTGTTACCTCGTCAAAAACAGACCTGGAGTTGTGTTTTGCTTCATTCACACCTTTATTATTTGACTATATCTATATCACCAAAGCTCAAAATGCTCTGTTCCACCTTGTGATGTCATGAAGCGTTTGTTTTGTTGAGAAGAAACAATGACAAATCATTTTAGTGAAGCTGTAGGGAGTTAGCCAGACTGGCGCCACCTAGTGCTTCCACGCAATTTCATTTCTCTCCAGCGACTAGTTCAGGAATCAGAAAACACTAGATCAGAGGTGTTCACACTTTTTCAGCCTGTGAGCTACTTACAAAATGACCAAGTCAAAATGATCTACCTAATACAAAGCCAAACAAACTGCACTGAAACACTCTGTGCCCCTGTTTTGGACCCTCACCCACAGTTTGAGAACCTCTTCTTTAAGAGAACTTCCTCTGGCACTTTACACAAAACTGTGAAAAAAGTGAAGGAAGATTTTTAAACCTGTTTTTTAAAGTTCCAAACTGGAGTTTCATTCTTTTCTGGATTTGCAGTGATATTTACCAGCCTCTGCACGTTTACCAAACCAAACGCACATCGTGACAAACACAGATGCATTTGTCACTTTTGTTAGACAAACTTCAGCCAAATGTGGCAGTAGGTCTGTTCTGTAGATCCGCTCTATGCTGTAGACCTGCTTTGTGCCAACACTGCAACACACATTTAGACTGGTTTTTGCTTCACGTTTGGTCTTGCTCTTCTAATCAGCCGCACTGTGGGAGGGGCTTGTGTTCGCTGTACGCAGGAAGGAGCGAGAGCGTGAAAAGGCGAGGGGCGGCGTGCTGACGTGAGGCAGATGGACAGGTAGGATGTTTAGGAAGCTTGAACCTGCCCTGTGATGCACGCTGGTACACGAGGGCACACGCGCTGTCGCAGACGAGCCGTGCATAGGGAGCGTGTGTGTTTGTGATGCGCCGTAGAGTCTCCGCGGGTTTCAAATGAGCGCACAGGCTGAACTGAGACGCCCCACACGCTCCTGCACCCGCTACAAGTTTATTACCAACAGCAGCGGCCGGAATGAAATATGATCGCACTTGTTGAGTGTCAAATTTACCCACACGACCTTGGCGATCGACTGGTAGATCACGATCGACGTATTGAGCACCCCTGGACTAGATGGTTTTGCAAGAATCCTGGAGGTTGTAGGCCGCGCACCGGCCAATCAGCGAAGAGCTGAACCAAATCGAGTTGCGATATCAGACTGCGTACACTATTTTTCTTTGGACTTCCTTTGTCAAATACAAACTTCGTATTTTTTATTGCACCTTTAATTCGCAAGTTCATCTCGCAGAAACGACAGTGATCATTGACGTTCATTGATGTTCGCTCTCTGCTTTGTTTGATTTTGATTTGGTTTGATTCAGATCCCCTTTAGCTGATGTCCGTGACACCGGCTACTCTTCCTGGGGTCCACATATAACACAGAACAACAACAAATAAGACACTTACAAACAAAACAGGAGCACAAAGATGATTGTTTGCTGTTGTGCCGATTGTGCGATTACTTGGACAACATTCCGGCGCATTACATACGTCACGACCAAATATCAGTGATTGGTTAAATTTAAAAAGTAAGAACGAATCCTAATGCTGTGTGGTCAGACGGTTTCCACAAAGTGAAACCGGCTGATGAATCAGGCTGCTAGGGAGCTGTATGGAGTCTTAAAACAGAGTGGAGCACTTCCTGTATTACCACATGACATCACAAGGTGGATCAGAGTGTTTTCAGTTTGGGAGGAGAACTCAGCCTTAATATGCAGGATTGTGTGTGAATGAAACAAAACACAACTCCAGGTCTGTTTGTGATGAGGAAAATACTGTAACATAACATGAAAATCGATATGTAACAGTAAGAAAACTAACAAAGAAAATCATTAGAAATCTATGAATAAATAATAAATATAGAGCTCTACATTATTCTCCTTTAATGTGCACGAGCATTTGACCCAAACCCCCCTGCCACACCTGTAAAACCTATGGGAAACATTGCAACCAGTATTAAAATAACATATAATTAATACTAAATAATATTAAAAGTACTTATAAATACCTTTTATGAAAATATCATATCATAAAGTTATTTTAAAGGCCTGAAACGGGGGACATTATAGAATTAAAAACACTGAAACTCGCTGCTTGCATTTTTCTCCAATCCAGTGTTTCCCATGGACTTTGTTATAAACGCTTCAACTTTTGACTCGGGATGTAACAATAACCATAATATCGTGATATTGTATCATCAAAGTTCTCGCAATAATATCGTGGACCATCACAACATATCTAATTACAAGTCTCTTCGCTTAAATTAACAGTTTTGGTGCGACAAAAGCTAAAAAACAGAGCGAACTACATAGACCATGATCCTTTGCTCCATTTCAGTGCAGACTACAAGAAGAAATAACAGTTCTAAACACTTTTATGTCTTAGTTCTTTGGATTAAGTCAGTGGTTCTCAGTTATTTTCTGTCACGCCCCCCTCTAGGAAGAAGAAAACATTTCGCGCCGCTCCACTCTCCGCCGCGACGATAAAAAATATCATTTTTATTCACAATGCAAGATGATTGTTGGCGATATTCTGCACGTTTTCGCTCAAAAGAAAAAAAAACTCAAACAACTTATCAGCGTGTTAAAGTGTAAAGTGACTCCTTAATTTATTTGATTTCATACTGTCCACTGCCAACACTTTTAGACGCACCGGCCTTTCCTCGTTTCCCATCGTAAGTCACAGTGAAGCCGAGCGCTACATACGCTTCGTCATAATTCCTCGTCTTACCTTTTGGGAATCTGTCGTTTGTTTCATTATCTCCGCCTTTCTTTTCATCCCTGTTAAATATTTTTCCATGCCGTCTCTTGAGGGTTCGTTCGCTGCACTTCGTATCTCCCGCTCTGTGCCGTGTGTGCGTAAAACCCGACACTACACTGCCAACTACTGTAGTGGAGGTGCAATTACAATTTTTTCTGGTACGACAAAAAAAAAGCACGTTCCCCAAAGGTCACACGCGACGCAATTTGAGGACTGGATTAAGTCTTGTCAAGGTATTTTAAAAGGACAAAGTTGCATATTCACAGTTTTGTTCGCCTCCATAAAATATCGCGGTAAATATCGTACTGAGAGATCTGGATATCGTGGACATTCCCACTTTGGACAACCCAAACAGCAGAAACAGCGGACGAGGCGAGGTCTTACCAGGCGGTTGAGGCGGACGAACTCTTCTGGCGTTTTGGCCCACGGGGGCAGCTCCACGTCCGAGACCACCGCCCCGTCCTCCATCACGCCCAGGCTGTAGCGGTTTGCATTCACGAACATCTCAGGCAGGTAGAAGAACTCTGGGATCAGCTCCTGGAACCACAACAACAACAAAAATTTGCAATCTACACAGGATTTTCATAATATTAACTCGATTTCTATACTAAGGAACAGACTCGATCCTCAGTACTGATTCTGATACAACAATGAGAATAAAACAAACACTATTCAAACCAACCATTCCCAATCAACGGAAAGATCACACTGGGCAACTATAATAATATTTTACACAAAATTTTAAAAGCATGCCGTGTTTTCTCCTTAAAATTATATTAAAGCTATTCAGGAAAGGTTCAGTTCAGTCCTGTGAATGTGGCTTTTTTAGTATCAATACCTGCTCAAATGAGGATCTAGTTTCGATAATAGTTTTAGTATCGATTAGTAAAGGCGGGACGAGACACAATTTCCATAAGACAAGACGAGAAACAGGGAGATTTGGACATACTGGATTTTTTTGGGCTATAAGTTGCACTTTTTTTTCATGGTTTGGGTGTTTCCTGTGACTTATTCTCCGGTGCGACTTATATATTAAAATGTTCGGACTGAAGCGGTGAGAGGTTCTAGTCTTGTGTGTGAGTATCTGCTGCTCCTGTTCCTCCTGTACCACTGTCACTTGGCTCTACTGCGCATGTCTCCTGCAGAAAGAGCCTCTGTCCTGTCTGTATCATGTCAGTCGATCGCACCGTTACTTCTGCACCACTGAACGATTTAACATTTAAACAAACGTATAAAGACGACTGAGAAGACTGAACACAAATGCCCCAAAAACGAAAATCAGATTTTGCAGATTACAAACTGCAAGTCGTGAAATCTGCAGCTGAAACCGGTAATCGAGCAGCAGAAAGAAAGTTTGGAGTGAGAGAGAAACTTGTGACACCGGGAGGATGAACCATGAAACTTTCCTGAAGTCACTGGATGGATGGACAAAGTCTGGACTTCAGTGACACCGAAACCATCCTGTCGGGATTCAGAAAGACCCGAATAATTCTAACTGGAACTGATGCTGAGTCTGACGACAGCGACACAGAAGAGTTTGCGTCGCTCTGTTTACCTCCGGAGGTCGAGGAGTTGCTCAGAAGTGACACCGAGGATGAAGAATTGAATGGATTTATTGATTTGGAGTGAGATGGAGAGTTTGATAAACTTGTTCTGTTCTGTTGTTTATGTTATAGTTTATCTGAAGAACTGTTCATATGTTGTTCTGTTTTATTGTTTTTACTAGAACTTGACTTTCAACAGGAAATGTCAGTTCCTGGTCTCTTACTTTTATAAAATAATTTCCTCCCAAAAGTGCGACTTATGTGTTTTTTCTTTTTCATTATTAATTTTTTGGCCGGTGTGACTTATACTCTGGAGCGACTCACAGACCGGAAAATATGGTAATTTCTAAGATGTAAATATTCTGATTTACTTCCTGAAGTTGGCCTCAGAATTAGTTTTTACTTCATTTCATATTTCTGTTGTCGTTCTAGCAGTACTTTTTGGAACTACGACTTCTCAACAGATGCAGCTCACCAGTGTTTATCAACAACAACAACAACTACTACTACTACTACTACTACTACTACTACTACTACTACTACTACTACTACAACAACAACTACTACTACTACTACACTACTACTACTACACTAACTACTACTAACAACTACTACTACTACTACTACTACTAACTAACTACACTACTACTACTACTACTACTACTACTACTACACAACAACAACATACTACTACTACTACTACTACTACTACTACTACTACTACTACTACTACTACTACTACTACTACTACTACACTACACACAACAACTACTACAACTAACTACAACAACTACAACAACTACTACTACTACTACTACTACTACTACTAACTACTACTACTACTACTACTACTACTACTACTAACTACTACTACTAACTACTAACAACAACTAACTACTAACAACTACTACTACTAACTACTACTACTACTACTACTAACTACACTACTACAACTACTACTACTACTACTACTACTACTACTAACTACTACTACTACTACTACTACTACTACTACTACTACTACTACTACTACTAAACTACTACTACTAACTACTACTACTTACACTACTACTACTACTACTACTACTACTACTACTACTACTACTACTACTACTACTACTACACTACTACTACTACTACTACTACTAACTACTAAACTACTACTACTACTACTACTACTACTACTACTACTACTACTAACTACTACTACTACTACTACTACTACTACTACTAACTACTACTACTACTACTACTACTACTACTACTACTACTACTACTACTACTAACTACTACTACTACTACTACTACTACTACTACTACTACTACTACTACTACTACTACTACTACTACTACTACTACTACTACTACTACTACTACTACTAACTACTACTAACTACTACTACTACTACTACTACTACCATTATTACTACTACTCCTACTACGACTACTAACTACTACTACTAAACTACTACTACTACTAACTACTACTACTACTACTACAACTACTACTACTAATACTACTACTACTACTACTAACTACTACTACTACTAACTACTACTACTACTACTACTACTACTACTACTACTACTACAGAATTAGTTTTTACTTCATTTCATATTTCTTTTGTCATTCTGGCAGTGTTTTTTGGAACTACGAACTTCTCAACAGATGCAGCTCATCGACGTTTATCCTTTTTTTTTTTTTTTTTTTTGTCCAATCCAAACGGAGAAAAAAAGAAAACGTCCCGTCGCACGTTTTGTCTCGCGAGATCTTTCGGCACGAGATCTTGCCCCATCCCCGTCGATTAGTATCAGATTTTTTCCTCTGGCAGCCCTAATCTGCCCTCATATATTTGGCGTTCGAAATATTTGGCATGAAAAACGGCAGAGCGGAGCGGGATTTGAAAAGCGCCGCTATGATTCCGACGTTAAAGAATGACACGGGTGATTTTGTGTGCCTGCTTCTGCGGCGTGACCCCCTCAGACGCTGTCAAACCCCATCACGCGTCTCCCCCCGCCGCTCTTACGCTGTTTACATTTCGGCGTCACATGAAAGCGCTCTCGGATTTACTCGTCTTTTTTCCTTCGCACAACAGAGAAGGGAGCAGTCGGCGGCGTTTAAGGAGATTTCGTTTGGCAAAAACAACACAGCGTTCTCCGAGTGTTGAACTCTGGCAAGGGGATGGGGCTCGGTGTTTACGTTTCTGTCATGGCCGAACGTGAACTCACCGCAATCACACACAACGTTAGAAACGCAGCTGAACATGTCGGTTCTAATGATGAATGGCTCCTGATACGTCCCACTGCTTCTGCCGGGTCTAAACCAGGTCTAAACCAGGACTAAACCAGGTCTAAACCAGGTCTAAACCAGGTCTAAACCAGGTCTAAACCAGGTGTAAACCAGGACTAAACCAGGTCTAAACCAGGTCTAAACCAGGTCTAAACCAGGTGTAAACCAGGTCTAAACCAGGACTAAACCAGGTCTAAACCAGGTCTAAACCAGGTCTAAACAGGTAAACCAGGTCTAAACCAGGTCTAAACCAGGTCTAAACCTAAACCAGGTGAAACCAGGTAAACCAGGTCTAAACCAGGACTAAACCAGGTCTAAACCAGGTCTAAACCAGGTCTAAACCAGGTGTAAACCAGGTGTAAACCAGGTCTAAACCAGGTGTAAACCAGGTCTAAACCAGGACTAAACCAGGTCTAAACCAGGTCTAAACCAGGTCTAAACCAGGTCTAAACCAGGTCTAAACCAGGTGTAAACCAGGTCCAGGTAAACCAGGTCTAAACCAGGAAACTCTAAACCAGGTCTAAACCAGGACTAAACCAGGTCTAAACCAGGACTAAACCAGGTCTAAACCAGGTAAACCAGGTCTAAACCAGGAAACCAGGTAAACCAGGTCTAAACCAGGTCTAAACCAGGAAACTAAACCAGGTCTAAACCAGGTCTAAACCAGGTGTAAACCAGTAAACCAGGACTAAACCAGGACTAAACCAGGTCTAAACCAGGTCTAAACCAGGTCTAAACCAGGTCTAAACCAGGTCTAAACCAGGTAAACCAGGTCTAAACCAGGGTCTAAACCAGGTCTAAACCAGGAAACTAAACCAGGTCCTAAACCAGGTCTAAACCAGGACTAAACCAGGTAAACCAGGTCTAAACAGGTCTAAACCAGGACTAAACCAGGTCTAAACCAGGTCTAAACCAGGTCTAAACCAGGTCTAAACCAGGTCTAAACCAGGAAACCAGGTAAACCAGGTCTAAACCAGGTCTAAACCAGGTCTAAACCAGGTCTTAAACCAGGTCTAAACCAGGAAAACTAAACCAGGTAAACCAGGTCTAAACCAGGTCTAAACCAGGTCTAAACCAGGTCTAAACCAGGAAACTAAACCAGGTCTAAACCAGGACTAACTAAACCAGATCTAAACCAGAAACCAGGTCTAAACCAGGTCTAAACCAGGTCTAAACCAGGTAAACCAGGACTAAACCAGGTCTAAACCAGGTCTAAACCAGGTCTAAACCAGGTCTAGGTAAACCAGGTCTAAACCAGGACTCTAAACCAGGTCCAGGTAAACCAGGTCTAAACCAGGTCTAAACCAGGTAAACCAGGTCTAAACAAACCAGGTCTAAACCAGGACTAAACTAAACCAGGTCTAAACCAGGTCTAAACCAGGTCTAAACCAGGTCTAAACCAGGACTCTAAAACCAGGTCTAAACCAGGTCTAAACCAGGTCTAAACCAGGACTAAACCAGGATCTAAACCAGGTCTAAACCAGGTCTAAACCAGGTCTAAACCAGATCTAAACCAGGTCTAAACCACCAGATCTAAACCAGTCTAAACCAGGTCTAAAACCAGGTCTAAACCAGGTCTAAACCAGGTCTAAACCAGATCTAAACCAGGTCTAAACCAGGTCTAAACCAGGTCTAAACCAGGTCTAAACCAGGTTCTAAACCAGATCTAAACCAGGTCTAAACCAGATCTAAACCAGATCTAA